TGGGATTTCTCTCTCTATGTATGGTTGGAGTCTATGTTGCAGAATGTTGAACATAATTTTACTTGCATGGGAGATCAGTGCTATGGTTCTGTAGTTGCTGCAGTCTCTTGTGTCTCCCATTTTGTGGATGGGGATGTATATTGATCGCTTCCAATCTGTTGGCCAGCGTTTTGTTTTCCATATCTGTTGACATATGTTGATTAGCACTAGGGTTGAATCTGTCAGTGTGGATTGCAGCAGTTCAATTGGAATATCAACTGTTCCTGGACATTTGTTTTTCACTATTTCTCTTATTACTGTTTCCACCTTGTTTTTTAGAATTTGGGGTTCATCTTCATATGGCTCTTCATTCCATGTGTCCTTCATTTTGTCATCTCTTTTGTATAATTTTTCTGTGTATTACATTTAATGTATTTTTATTCCTTCCTGGTCTTGAATTATGGTATTTTTATTGTCATAGAGCAGGGGTCAGCAACCTACGGTCCGTGGGCCAGGGCCGCCCCCCTGAGGCCTTTGGATCGGCCCCTGCCGCTGCCCCCCGCCGCCGCCACGTGCATCGCGGCCACCATTTTGTTTTCCATGCGCAAACGAGTTGCGGCCACCATTTCCCCCCACCATCAGCCCGCGGAAGACCCGGGGATCCCCAGCCCGGCCCCAGGTAAGGGGAACTTGCTGACCCCTGTCATAGAGCATCCCGGTTGAATTTTCCTTGTGAAATAGATTATTCTTCCCTTTTTGTTGTCTTCTTCTACTTCTCTGCATTGGTTGTTGTAGTAATTTTCTTCATCTTTCCGCACAAGCCGTTGTACTGTTGCAAATTTTTAGTTTGTTCCTATATTTCTTTTGTTTTTCTTCTCTTCTTTTCTTTATTGCTTGTAGTGTTTTTTTTCTGTCATCCATGTTTTTTTCTCTTTGTTTTTGTTTATTGAAAGTGTCTATCTGCATTCTTCTTTTATTATGTCCCTGGCTTCAGACCATAGTTCCTCTAGTTCTCGGTCTACTTGCTTAGTAGTGTGAATCTGTTTCTTATTTTGTCAGTAAATTCTGTTGAGATATTATTTAGATCATACTTTGGTATAATCACTGTTTTTGTTTTCTTCTTGAGTCCTACTCTTATTTTTGATATGAGTAGTTTGTGATCTGTACCACAGTTGGCTCCTGGTCCTGTTTTGGCCACCAGTATAGAGTTTTGCTATCTTTCGCTTCCAATTATATAGTCTATTTGATTTTTGTGTTGACATCTGGTGATGTCCATATTTATAGCATTTTTTCTGGTTGTATGAAGAATGCGTTTGCAATGAA